TTTCCCCTCCATGTTAAAATACAAAATTATCACATATAAAACAGCACAACCCACTAGTGAGTTATGTAAATATTGTAAACACAAAAGTTTTGAAACAACCGAAAAAAAATGCAAATTATGACACTGACAGACAGTCAACTATCAAACTGATTATTTTTGCACTAAACGTTCCGTTTTAACTTAAATAATTAGGTTTAGTGAACGTTTTATGACAAAATCATTCATTCACTCATAACTACCTAAAATGGAACGTGCGATTCTGCATAATGGTAACATTATCTTCACTCGACTCGACATTTTCGTGACATTTATTTCTATTTTGACTGAGAATACGGATTTCTGTGCAATTCGACATTTTTTGGTAGAGATAGAGATATTTTTGATAGACATAGAGATAGACTTACAATGTCGAACTCGAGATAAATGGCGAAAATCGAGAATTGGCCCCCAGAACATACGATGTAAACTAAATACTATAAGAAACAGAATACTTTTATTAGCTACTTGATTTTCTGTAATACTATAATACTGTTATTAGTAAAATCTTCAATAAAGTTTTTAAAGCAATTAACAGTTTTCTTCTTATTTTATGACACAATTTCTTACTATTTGTAAAAAATTATGAATTAAAATGCAAAAACCTTTCACTTTTAAATTAGTCCTAATTACCTATAAACGTTTCAGAACGGTACTTTCCACATTCGAAATACGTGGAGGCAAGTCAAGAATAAAATCACAACTTTATAATAGTAAATTAGCTTTTAAAACTCATAATTTCTTAGTAATCAAGCAAAATGGTCACAAAATACGCGATTTGTTTATTCGCCATCGCTACAGTAGCGTTTGCACAGGGCTGCACGAACCCGCAAGTCGAAGCAACATCGTTCACAAGTTTAGATGCCACAGTTGTGACACAAATAGCTTATATTACTGAATTTACGCTGAAATGCGACAACCCTCTCCCTGAAAACTACGCATTGTACGCTGAAGTTGAGGGAAAACCTTTGACCGCTGCCCGTGTTGGCGAGAACAGATACCAAGTGAGTATAACCCTATTTTATCGTAAATTTCACGTAAACTACCGAATTTTCAGTATTCATGACATTGGCATGATGTTCCCGAATACTTTCACTATAAAATTTACCCATAAGAAGGTTAGTTTCAGTTAGAAAATGTTGATATTACAAGTTAAAACTTTCTTGGATAGTGAAAGTCAACTCATACGCTAGTCGTCACGGTTAACTCATGATGATGATGATGATGTAGACAGAAGGTTCAAAATTATCATAAATTTTAGTAGAATCGAATCCACAAACTTCTTGTTTAAAATCTAGAAGATGATGATTGATTATATGAAGGTGACTTCCAGCTAAATTCTAATAAGATAAACAACAATCCATTATGTATTCTGGTCTAGTGTGTAGATTATGGCAAACCTTGTGTAAAGGAGACCCATAGTCCAACACCTTTATTAATCTTTGTATAATTTATTATGTGTCTCAAAAATCAATTGCCAGTTGGTATATGTAATTCTTATTAGTTTTGTTGTTAGCTGCACAGAGTATATTAGACTGGTTGCTAAATACAAAAATCAACTGTCTTATGTTAACTTCCGGTTAAAATTATGTCAGCAACTTACTTGAGCAAGGTGAAAGCCTTTATTAAATTAAATGTAATCGTTTAAATTAGAAATTAACTGTTAGTTAGACCACTTGGTCATAAGAAACACAAAAGTTTAAGTATATTATATTCCACCTGCATCCACTGGTTGGATGGAGCCAGTGGCTGCATGTGGCAAGTAACGACTGCACGGTTGGTGCGGTGGCTGGGCAACCGGCTGTTGTGCAGCGGAACAACACTTTGTGTGATCCATAAATTGTTGTTTCGGGTCTGGATATTATTGTGTATGTGAACTTGTATATTTGTAGCCACGACACAGGAGAAACTCCTAATGTGGGCAATGTTTTTTTTAAAAAAAAGAAAGTTGTTGTTGGACGTGATATTCTCGCATAGACGAGAAAATAAAAAAATGTGTTTAGTATTTTTTCATTATCTAACTGACGGACTAATTACATTTTTCATTTTCACACCCTGACAACTACCCAATTATATGAAAAAACATTATGCAGCAACCATACCAATACACCATTCACTTAATCAAAAGTAGTACCTATTATCAATACATCAATACATAGTATAAAACAAAGTCGCTTTCGCTGTATGTCCGTATGTATGCTTAGATCTTTAAAACTACGCAACGGATTTTGATGCGGTTGTTTTTAATAGATAGAATGATTCTTAAGGAAGGTTTGTATGTATAATACATGCATATTGCACCCCTTCGAAGCCGGGGCGGGTCACTAGTGTTCTATAAATAACAATACTCATCTCTGGTCTCTTTCCTCTCACACATTATCTTTTTCTTATACATATTTGTCTGGACTTTAAAAGAGACTGAGACCTCTGAGTTTGTTTTGACATTTGTTCTCAGAGTAGTCATCTAGAGAATGTTAACCTCATCGTTCTCTTGGTATAATCGACATGTAAAAGTGCAGCCTTGTAGCCTATTTGCAGAAATAAATTCACTTGTTTAATTTTTCTTAGGTATCGTGGACTGAAGAGCCAGCGAAGGCTCGCTCCGGTACTCATGATGTGTTGATCCTCGACGAGGAAGGCTGGGCCAACCTCCGCCGCGCCCGCCGCGCTGACCCTGCCGCTGCCGTCGCTCCTTTAATCGCCATTCAATTACACCACCCAGGAAGTAAGTGGAACAACTTCTTTTATTCTTTGTAGATTTAAGCACCTCATTGGCGCCCTAATTTGTTTTGCCCCCGCCGTCACTCTATGTACAGTTGTACACGCGCGTCTCGCGGCGCCCCTCTGTAACCTGGCGCCCGGCACTTGTCTAGAGCGCCTTAGGGATAATAGGGTAGGGTAGGCTAATAAACTTGCGACGATATATTGAAATATCGCGAGACATCACTTCTATGTACGTTATATAAGTAGAAATGATGTTTTAGCCTTTGATTCGTTTTATCTAAGTATAAGATATACATATAAATACCTTATTAACTCGTCGAGTACCGTCATTATAGACACAATTATAGAACAATAGGTTGCGGTCACTGGTGACCGCTTGGTGTTTGACAGTTTAATATACGAGAAAATAAAAAATACGCGTCTAATATTTATTCATTATCTAACTGACGGACCAATTAGATTTTTAATTTTCATCATCCCGTCATCATCTCTATTGCCATGCTTCAGCACAAATAGAAATTGCTCGACCAGAGTTACCTCAGTGATATCACGGCCTCAAATTGCCCCGTCGTGACGCTATCACAGCTTTGTGAGTGTGGTTACCAGAGGGCTAATCATACTCTTCAAAATCAGTTACTTAAAGTTAAAACCATAATTTATTAGTAACTCTATATATATAGCTACAATCGACATGTTTCGAGTTATGTGCATTGGTCCACTTGTTTAAATAAATATTATAATTTTATCGTTTACTTAGTTTGGGTAAAAATTAAAAAAGACAAACTTAATTTTGCTATATTATGAAGGTAGTTGTTACTATATATGAAGACTACCCAGTAAAACCATGAAGTATGAAATTTAATGTTTGACGACCTCGTGATCGAGTGGGCGCAAGCGTTACTACCGATCGGGGTTCCATATTGGATAACCCTATTGGATTGGATTGGTTTTTCGAAATTATGCATTTTTACCTTCCATCATGGCATAGATTTTTTGTTCATAGTCCGTTTTATCTGGTTGCGCCCTTTATTATTGTTTTATTACGATTACTAATATGAATATTTATTTTTCTTGTTTCAGGCTACTCCGGCCCATGGGTGAACTCCGAAGTCCTAGCTACCGCGCTCTCCATCCTCGTCGCCTACACCGCTCTCCGCCATAAGAGCAAGATCCTAGCTTAAATGTAGATAACTGTTTATTTTTTTTATATTTAAATAAATGAAAGTTAAGTTATTTATAATTGGTGTTTGTTTTTGCTTCTCAACACTACATTTATAATAAGTACCTATTGGGTGTAACCTGTTAGGATATGTTGATTTAAATAAATGAATAAACGTAATTTTGACTGCTTCGTTGGCCGAGGTGGTCGACTGCCGAAGTACTGTTGGGTACTTTTTTA